TTTATGGTATTGGACATGTTCTCTTTCCATTTTTACTTAATTCAACTTTTTTATTAAGTGGAGAGTGGCACATTTTTCTTGCTAGGTTCAATATTTGCTTGTAAAAGAAAAGGTTTTGAGAGAAGTGTGTGTGTTTGTTGGTGGGAAGTTTAGGGGAGGGGGGTACACTGGCCTACATTCTTACCACCCCAAGATTATTCAGTTTTTATTCAGTTTTCAATTATCCTGTTTTTAAAATTGTTTCAAAGCTAGCATTTACTTATTTGAAAGTTTGGGGAAATATATGTCATGTTTAATGTAAGCATTATAGCTTGAACCCATACATAGCTTGAACACAGATTTCCACTACACTTTCTTGTTTCATTATCAGGTGGGGTGAGGATTAGATTAATACATTTCAATAAGGGTTGTAAAAGATTTTAAAAAGAACTAGTCTTATGATATGAGGGCAGTGAAATCTCTGACCATAGTATCTAATGGTTTCTTCCCTGAGAAGGGACCTTAAAACAAAATTGCCATTTGTGATTAAAAGCAGTATAGCGACTTTGATTGTTGAATTAATGACTTGGATGCGCAATTTATTCCAATTATAACATCATTAATTTCACAGTCACAGTGACTTATTCTCAGGTTCACTCTACACCACAAAAGGTAATTATCACTTATGATGATTGGAGAAGTGAAATAATATTTATAACCTGACATAATGTTTTAAGCATATTAAAATCTAAAGAATGGTGTAAAATGGAAGAGTATGAGTTTTAGGAAATAATGTAAATAAATAGAGTGATGTAAGTGAATGTTATTGTTTTGAACTATGTAGAGCTTCTTTAAAATTATATTAAATAATTTTTTTAAAAAGTGTCTCAAGTTAACTCAAATTATGTTATGTATAAAAACTTGCAGCTCTTGTCTGGTGGGGGATCCTCACATTTAATTTGTGTAATTTCCTGATGGCATGCTAAGAGGCATTTAATTATTTCATTAGCAATGCTTATGAAACGTTTTTGAGCTGACCCATAATACAGATGCAAAACTGGTTAGTTCTTTTCGAACATCAGTATATTGGATTATTTCTACGAAAGTTTTTATTTCTTTTGCAAGTATTTTGGTGGCATTCGACCCATATGTATATAACTGCATTTTTTTCTTTTTCAAATTTGCCGTGTTGCTTTGTTTGGTCAAAAAAAAAAAGATCAGTTTAATTGCTTAATATTCACAAAAGTTATACCAAAATTAAACCTTGTAAGGCTTTGCTCAAAGTAACCCGTTGTTTTGTGTCTAGAGTTAGCAGGGCACGTGTAATTCCCATTTTAAGTTTTCTTAGTAGTCATTTAATTGATGTCTTAGTTGAGGTGGATTTAATATTCCCAGGGGCGGATCCAGGATAACTGATATTTGAAGGGGGGTCTGCAGATGTGCAGGACCCCCCAACATCCTCCTAAATCTGCCACTGATTCCCGTCACTATACAATTAAGTTATCATATAAATTGTATACAGGTAAATTTTATCAAAGTTTGCTCAAGGTTAACTCGAGCAGAATATTGTCATTATTCTAATAATGAACCGTTTTTGTTTCATTTGATAACTTAATATTGTTGAAAATTTGTTGATCAGGGATCAGACTACCATTTATTGAGAAAGTAGGAAAATATGGCATGAGGTCTAAGGGTCTAGGCCATTGATATTTTTAGCTTCAAAAAGTCGGAAATCCGCCGATATTCAGAAAATTTCATTTCTGGCTGATGCAGTTGTGTATTGTTTTGTCAGAGAACTAAGAGATTGAGAGAAGTAAAAAAAAAAGACTTTGACAGATCGTTAAAAATGGGCACATCTTTTCATACAAGAAGTATCAATTATACCAAAAACTATTTATTATAAAAATACATGAAGTAAAACAGATCTAAAAATAAATATAATTAGGAATCATATATGAAGAAATTGTGCCACTTGCACAAACAAAATTAAATATTTTTTAAATTTTTTTAAAATTATAAATCAAAACTTGAACTTAAAATTTACTTCTACTAAAACAATTCTAAAATATTTTTTATTTTAAAGCCTACTGATGATGCTGTCTATCTTTATTTTTCCTTTAAAAGTAACAAAATAACATTATTAGTAATCTTCGGGGAATCTTCAGGGTTGGAGGTGGGGGGATAGGGTCGGCTTCGCCTGAGGGCTGCGCGCGCACCCGGAACCGGTGCGTTTAACCCGCGTGCGCCGCCATATTGAAAACATAGACGTGATAATCAGAGGCGTACTTGGTACCCTCTTAATTTCTGCAAATATCGGCCGTCATCCACTCTGCAATCATGGTGAGTGTGGTTTAATGTTAGTTTAAGATGAACTCAGAATATCAATCCTTGTTCATTTTTATGAGAGAATACAGTTTGTTAATGTTATTCCTCAGATTCAAGGGAGGGGGGGGCGTTCAGTCGTAAACAAAGAATTATTATGAAGTAACTGTTTTATACAAACTTAACCGGACATTCTTTTGAAATTTAATTTAAGCAAGGGTGATCACGTAGAAATTAGAAAAATGGTTTTATGTTCTTGTAAGTAATTTGAAAATTATGTGAAATCTTTTATTTTTTGAAGTTGTTAAAACCATATAATAATCACGTTAAATTAAAAAATCCTATCCCTTAGGTGGCCGGCAAGAGTTCAAAGATGTTGCAGCACATCAACTACCGTGTGCGATGTGCTCTGCAGGACGGACGTGTCTTCATCGGCACATTTAAAGCGTTCGACAAACACATGAACCTCATTTTGGGCGACTGTGATGAATTCAGGAGAATCAAACCAAAAACTGCCAAGACAGAAGCCAGAGAAGAAAAGCGTGTGTTGGGACTGGTTCTTCTCAGAGGGGAAAACTTGGTGTCTATGACCGTGGAGGGGCCACCCCCAGCTGACGTGAGTGTATAATGATATAGACTAACACATTCTGTAGTTATGCAGTATGCCCCCCACCTCCCTCCCAGCACCACCACAATCAATGCTTGCTCATGTAAGACATTTATTTCAATGTTTTTCATAATTCATTAACGTTATGACAATAATCACTATATCTCACCTTTTCAAGTTTAATTTTTTTTTCATTTATTTACTGTTTTTTTTTTTTTTTTAGATAAACCTGGAAACTTTTAGAAAGACTATTTCTTGTTCTAAATATAAAGATGTTGTGATGACTCAGGCTAGAGTTTCAGACTCCCCTCTGGGGTGGCGTGAGGAAAACTTCAGCTCACTGAACATCGATATTATATTTTAGAAAAATCACAGGCCATCCGTTGCTTGGAATGGTAATTTGAATTGTGCTAGGAAACCCACAGTTTATTGTGTATTGGACTCTGGTCATCTTAAATCGATATTGAAATGAAAGATAATTGATTTTTTGGTTTTATTATTATTATTAAGCTGGGTCTCTGAATGACATGTTGACTGTTCAAAATAGTATCTGTTGCTTCTGAATTTGGATTGTATGCTAAACATTCATTAATACATTTATATTCTAAATGCAGGAGGGAATGGCCCGAGTTCCCCTCCCAGGGGCTGGCCCAGGTCCAGGTATGGGTCGTGCGGCAGGGCGAGGTGTTCCAGGGGGATTGGGGGGTGCAGCCCCAGGACTTCAGGGTCCAGTCAGAGGGGTAGGCGGCCCATCACAACAGATCATGCAGCCAGGAGGTAGGTAGTTTTATGTAGATGTTAAGTTAATGTTAGTAGTGGTTACACACTGAAAGCTTATTTTGCACCCTGATGAAATGAAGTGGACTTCTATTTAAGGTAGATCGGTCGTTACATGTTCCAACGTTCGATTTTTTTTAAATTTTTTTTTGTTTGAAGAGACACCCAAGTACATTAAAAATTTGCAAAAAAAATTGGGGGTCACCGACCAAATAAGAGAACTAGCCCCAAATATGATACACCCTGCATATCGCACTAGTCCCCATTCAAATCAATGGGAAAATGGGTGTTTNATCTACCTTAAAAGATTATATGATTAAATGGGATTAATCCATATACTTAATAAGGGCTAACAATCTTCCAGTAAGGAAAGTCCAACTTAAAAGTTATTCAGTCATAGATAAAATAATATTCATGTTTTTGACCAGATCTTTTAAATTCAGTGCCAGATGGTGAGATATTTGAAAGTTAAATTTTGGTGTTCTTTCAGGTCCTCCAATGAGAGGAGGCATGAGAGGGCCAGGTCCAATGATGGGAGGACCCCCAGGACGAGGTGGACCACCCCCAGGAATGAGAGGACCACCTCCAGGGATGATGAGGGGGCCACCCCCAGGGATGATGAGAGGCATGCCCCCTGGGATGAGGGGACCCCCACCACGGTAAAGGGGCACGCCCTGTGGCCATAGGACTATTTATTGTCAGACAGACTGGTGATGCTGCACTGTAATGTGAGGGCAGCGCCCAAGGAGAATGTAACAAATGATTCAGGTATGACAGAGCAGAGAGTTCTGTCGTGTTGAGTCAGCACGGTAAAATATCCTTGTGGAAAAATTAAAGAAAAGATGTACTGTTTTGCAGAATCTTTGATTTTATGTTAGAGATGAGTCTGTCTTCTTGTAGAGAAGAAAACGGCATCATTCTTCCATATCTTCTCCACTTGTATAGACAAGGCATTCCAAGACTTTCCTAAGTTGAAAAGGCGAGAGGATCAGATTGATTACTAGAGATGAGAAATTGTTGCATTGTCTTACTGCCCATGTGCATTCTGAACATTTAAGCTAAACCATGTGATGCCCAAAGGATGCAAAGGTGCAAACAAAATGCCGTTGGTTTCATCAACATATGGGAGTCTGAGAAATGCAACCAGACTATACTGGTGTCTTGCTCGACTTCTGTTTCAAACTCTGATTACAGAAGGATGTTGCCTCTGATGATTTCTAGAAAAAACTAGGAGAACTTTCCAAGTTAATCATGTTAAGCAAGACCGCCCATGCATTAGAACCTTTTTATACTTTTTCCAAACTAAAGTTTTTAATAAAATACGTTTTAGAAGTATTCTGATTTTGTTTCGAATTGAAAATGAGAAACAATAGTGAAATAAGAGGACAGCAAATGAGAAATAAAACAAATAATTTTATCTGATTGTTTAAAATGTACAGTAAAATGCTTCGATTCCCATCTGTGAAAATTGGAGAACTGTTTTAAGTGCATGCATCGATACCTTTTCAGCCATTCTGTAAAGTTTGGTTTCATTAATGGAAGAATAAAAAGTATCCTCTTATACTGAAGAATCCTCTTGCACCAGATTAAAATCAGTCTTGCCAGCCTTATGTGGTGCCTCTTGACAAAAGTTTTTTCATGACGTGCACTTAAAATTTGTCCAAGAGAAATATTTTTGAATAAGGCTATTTCCATCTGTGACCCTATCAATTCTATTTCTGTCGACAAGTCAAAAAAATCATACAAAACTGGAAGGCATTAGTAAGATACATGCAGATCAGCTCAATGGATTTGGCAGTTATTCTTATTGGTGATATCATTAAGATTCTGTGTTACAGACCAAAAACTTAAGTAAATATAGTTAGAATTTATATGCAGGAGCACTCCATATAAACATTGGTATTTTTAACCAGGATGGTATCCAACTTGCCAGTTTAATGTAGCCTCCCATTCTCAGTAGTGTAGATATAGATCGCATGTTAGGTGGACATTTTCCTGAAAATAATTTTTTCAAATATTGCATTTATCTTAAACATAAATTAACAATACAATATCAATCCCAAGTTCCAGTAATGTAAGTACAGACCGCATTTGCTTGAAAATAGTTCTTAATATAAACTAGACTTCATTATAATTATGTATGTATGAATATAATAGATAATACTAGGGCTACTACTTGTGAAGAATGGTTTTACTTGCCATTTATGTCTTTAAAACCATATTTAGTTCCAAGTTCTGCTGTTAAAAGCACTTTTCCAGTCATCTGCATAATGTTTGGGTCTGATGAGAAAAAATATTTATAAAGAACAAAACAATTATAAAAGTAACTTTTTCTTAGTAAAACAGTTGATTGTATGACCAATCTGGCTTAATACAAGTCATCTTCTTCACACACACCCCTACTCAATGTGCCCCCCCCCCCTCACACACACACAAGCGCACACACAGACAGGCTTCTTATATCATTTTATTTTCAGTTTCAAGCCATTGAGCTGCAACCATATCAATAAATGAATAATTGAATAGATTGATAAAATTTGGTATTTTTATTTTCATCAGAACTTGGGAATGCATTCAATTTTCTTCACCAAAATGACTCACCTGTTGCAAGGGCAACAATGCACTTCCCACTATACTCGGTGGACTCGCTTTCACACCAAACATGTTTCAACTGAAAGCAAAAGAAAAAATAAATAAATACATTTAAAATAATGATTGTTTATTTAACTGTAGTTCAGTCACTGTTGAAAAGTCAATGATATATTTATGTTATGAGACAAAGTTATCCTTAAAAGACTTAATTAACACATTGCAGGCCCATAGCCAGCAATTTGAAAAGGGGGTTCCTTTGCCGAAAAAGTGGATCTTTTACAATGAAACCTTTGTGAACCTAGATCAAATTTTACCCAGAATGAGCCCGCTCCTGACAAAAAGGGCAGTTCTTACGAACCCCGAAACCCCCTTGGCTATGAGCCTGCGGTATATTACCATATCTGCCGGAACTCCTTCCACATGGATTTTTGAGTCATCCAGCATATCGATAGCCAACTCTGTCTGCACGGGTCCTGACGCTGGCCAAAGACTGACAGAAGCTATGTTATATTTTTTCAGGTCATGAGCAGTGTCCGCTGCTAATCTGTCAACCTGATGAAGGAATAAAATAAACATTTGCTCAATATCTCACAATTTGTTGACATGATAATATCTTTATTTTACGAATAATCATATAATTTTCTGTGATAAAAGCAAAATTTATTACACATCATATAATAAAGTAATTGGGTTAAAGTTGACAACAAAAATATCCTGTGATTTTCTTAATTCAACATATATTAATTTTTGTTTTAACAATGAACAATGTTTAAAAAGAATACTGAAATGATATATATGTAAAATGCATGTTAGGAAAGCAGAAAAAAGCAAACAAATTGACCTAGCAGCATATGGCAGATATAAAGCTCACAATTTTAATGTGTGTGTGCGTGTGTGTGTGTACGTGCGTGCAGGTGCACAAAAATGTGCGAAGTCTTTATACCAAGAAAAGCAACTTATTTTGATTTTTTAGTACAACACTCTCTATTTAGATTAATATTCTAAAAAGCTTACAGCAGCTTTCCCTACACCGTATGCAACATTGAAGAGATAGTTCAGGCCTCCCATACTGGAAATGTTCACGATCACGCCGCGCTTTCGAGGAATCATGAGGCGAGCTGCATACACTGAACACACATAATGATTTCTACAAAAGAGTTCAGATTATATTTATAAAAAAAAAAGAGGGGCGTGAAGCAGCTACAGTATGTTACCCTCTATCAGGGCCTCAGACTGATTTTTCGTTAGATACTCATAGATAATGTCTCTGAGTAAATATGGTCAATCTTCTAATTTAATTTCTCACAGAGAACTAAATGACCGTCCATTTATATCTGCAGACATATCTGTGAATATCTTGAGAAAAATTAATCTGTTATCTGGTAAGGGCACAGCTATGTTACCGCTGTGGTTTGTCCAATGAGGATTAAAGCAATGACTCGTGCCAAATAAATTCAGAATTCAACCCTTTTTAGTTGTTTTTATACAAGCATTCAGTTTGCAGTTGGGAAAATGTGCACAGAACTGACAATACAACAAACAAGAATTAGTTCAGAATAGGTAAAGCTTCAAAACAAAGTATTTTTTCTATAAGCCTATATTATTAGTTTGTCTTATCAATGAAACAAAGGCTTTCCCTCACTTTCTCCTTCTCTCTCATACAACCATTTACAATAAAATAAAATGAGAGGGAATGGGAGAGTTTGTTTCTGATAATTGATAACAAAATGAAAAAATAACAACCATGGAATTAATGATAACACTGAAATCATAATGATATACACCTTAGACCAACATTGTTGACATCGTCCCATATTTCTGGCTCTTGCTCCCAAAAAGGTTGGTTTATATTGCCTAGAACTCTCTAAAATAAAGAAGAATGCGTAATTCCATTCCCCATCACTTTATCTACGTACATATATTTTACCAAGGATGGGATGACTCACATTTATAGATTAAAAAAATTATTTATCTACTTATCTATTTATTTATTTATATTTTGTACAGTTGAGAGTTTAGAAAAATTACGGGATATGCATCTTGTTGGAAAAATGACAATTCAGGGAGATTAGTGGAGGGATTTTCCTCCCATTCTAGTTTATTCCCTTCCCAGAATTCCAATTTGAAAGCCCCCCTTACCTCTACTGCAGAGTAGGCATTATTGACCAGTATGTCCAGTCTGCCATGTTGTTCAGCCCTCACCCTGTCAAACAGCGCCTTGATTTCTTCATCCTTACTGTGATCACACTGAACAGGTATGCCTTTCCCGCCTCTACTCTCGATCTAGAATTGATGAAATGAGGGCAGTAATGTGCACTGACATAGATTGCCGCACTTTATATTTCCACCAGTCAAGTATACGTGTACAAGAACCAACCCGAGTCTCACATGTATACTAGTAAAATCAGCATGCCTCTGTCGTTTGCAGTGCCAGATTTCAGTATCCTCCTCCAGGTTCAGGTATGCACGTTTTTTAAAGTCTATCTTTTATTTAGTAATGTCAATTCAAGAAAACCTTATTTTTCATTGGTTTGTATTAAAACAATATTGCAAGTACTATATTGAGCTTTTGAAACGATTTTAACAAAACAACTCGAAGCAATAAACACGCTGTCTGTCAGTAGATGGTTACTGACTTCAATTTTATATTATATATTACATTTATTATCACTACATATAATACACTCTGATGATGTTGGTCCTTCTTCCTAGTTGTTTTACGAGGGTTTTAGACCCCATTTCCAGAGATTAGATCGATCTACTTTAGATCGACCTAACTCCCTGGGGGTTCACGCTAAATAGCTGTCAGCCGAGCGGACACGAAAGTTAATTACCCCCTTACAGCTTGTAATAGGCGGGACGGACATTTAAGCCGGATTATCTGACAGTAATCTAGTGAGACTCCCTGCGGGGATAGATCGATCTAAAAGCTCTGGGAATACAGCCTTAGATTCGTGGATTAAACTGACAGTGAACCAATACTCATTTAAGGCGTACTCATTTAAGACATGTTAACTGCGGAAAGAATCTAGCTTTACCTCTTCTGCGGTGCCCTCCAAAGATAGCTTGGAATTTCCATTAGATTTCAAAGTCCTGCCTAATATAAGTTTGATATCTAGTTAGCCATTGATTTTATTATAGACGTGATGAATCAACAAGAAATTGGATGAAAACAACCAGCTTGTTTCATAAAGAAAATTAAATTCTGGTATTGACGTCATGTGAATTTATGATTAAATACATTATGTTGAAATTGATATAATTCATCAGCAAGAAAATTCATGAGTTAGCACATTTTAACTTATTGTGGCATCTACTGTATGAGCTAAACATTAAGTAGAAGATAAAAAGTTAACGTATAAATGGAAATGCTAACTGTTAACGCATGTTTTTGTATGCGTATGCTGTAAAACCACTATCTACAATTTAAAATTTTAATTTTAATTTTAAAACGCCTCTCCATGAGAGATAAAATTGTTGAAAAGATTAAAAATAACCAGTAATGTAAACAGTGGCTCCTGCTTCTCCTAGCTGTAGAGCTATTCCTCTACCGATGCCTCTGGTCGCCCCTGTTACTATGGCGACTTGCCCTGCAAGAGGTGTCAAATTTTCCATCTTTTAGCACTGTAAAGAATAACATATATTTTAGAGCACATATTTGAAAACAACACTCCACGATAATCTGAAGTTGTTTGATGAATGGAAATCTGGGTTCATAATCTCATTACAGCTTTGACACGCTTAATGACATTCTAATGTGAAGGACACAGTTTATGAGACAACTAATTACTATCCAGGCTGGATAGTAATTAGTTGTCTCATAAACTGAACCGGTGCGTACTTAGGCAGGGTCTTACGTTTAATAGTCAGCAAAACGGAGCACAGACAATGTAAACTTACTCTAGAATTAAAACTAAACAGCAGGAACAGCACTTGTGAAAGGGGGTAAAAACTCTTGTAGCGTAATGACGTGTTAGGACCCCTCAATGTATACAGGTGTGACAAGAAAGATAGTCCTAGCAATGGAAGTCCAGGGTTCCACATGATTAGTAGATCTTAGTACAGGTTAGGGTTAGTCGGAGTATTGGGGTTAGTATATGGGATGAATATCATCTGTACAAAGTAGTGAGAAACTGACTACGGTTCCTAGCGGACTACCATTCCTGTACAGACTAGGCCCTATGCCGCTCGATGTACAAAGGGTTTAATACATAAAAATATTTTCCACAGCAGGTTTTATAAACTTTAATAATCTGAATGTATTACGAATTGTAAAATCACTAGTTCATTTTGATATTTATGCACACAGTGATCGTGTACGAAATATGTCCATCTAGCCCCGGTCTCTCCTACATAACAGTTACGTTAGCCTATACTCGACCAGCTGCTCTTTGACCCATCTGCGTAAAACCCGATAACCAATTATCCCTGAAAATAATTACTACCAGACCTACATCTTTACTACAAGCTCGATATTTCAAATCACTCAACTTTTTGAGCAAAAATCTAGCCTTTGACTTTGCCGATACTCACCTGACTACCGGCTGACCAACCAGTGCTGCCTGAATGCATGAATGGCACACAGTAAGTTCCACCTGATAAGGTCCAATTGCATAATATTAAAGGGGCGTAACCGAAAATCTTTGATGTTTCACTGTTTAATTTCTTGTTCTACAATAATCCGTGCGTTTATCTCAGGAGCATGTTATAATCTACTAAAAATATATATTTACTTTCTTTGGTCAATTAGTGTGCCATTAGGCTCGACTTAAATGCTATTGAAGGGAATGTATTATATATATATATATATATAGCTTCTTACTTGACTTAGACCAGGTTTATACAATGTGCTTTAAAATATATACTAAAGGTTATTTTTATAGTTTGGATTTCCGATAAGTACTCGTCAGATAAATACTATAAAATCGTCGATGAAACGACCTAAAATTCGGAATTTTTGTTTTTCGTGCCAAAATCCCACGGACGCTCTCTTTATCAGGCACTGTTGCAATTAATGTTTACTTATGGAGGTCAGTCGTTAAATTATGAAATCTAGGCTATGTGGAATTCACAACTGATAGAACGTATTGGATTTAGACCTATCAAAGTTCTTCGGTAGAGCGATAAGGGTCTCAGAACGTTTGTCTTACGTGTATTCATATACCAAGACGCGGGTCGCAATGGAAAGTCAGTCAATACTAAAATTTCGGCCTGGCCCGCACTTTTTATTGGGTGGGTGGATGGTGTGTGTGTGTGTGTGTGTGTGTGTGTGTGTGTGTGTGNACGATTTTAATAACTGATATAACCTTATGCTAGTTTGTTACTGATCAGAATTATTTTCTTTTACCTATCTCATCTCTATTTCGATATTGACAGATGGAACACAAAACACAACACTGGCCAGCGTGCGTGTCGCCATCTGGAGGTGAATATATGTAGTGACAATAATAAACACATCACGTTGGGCAGAAAGTGTATACAATGTGGCGAAGTGGCCCTTCTGTCTCAATTTGACCAGTGTTGCAGTACCCCTGGACAAAGTGATCAACAGAGAACAAGAAAAGGATTTCATGGACGTAACCTCTACATGATAATTATGCTTTTTTGTTTTACTTTATTTATTTATTTATTTTTTTGTTTGTTTATTTGTTTATTTATTTATTATTATTATTGTTTTGTAAAAGGATGGGGTAAATTACGTGCACGTACGTGGTGGTGGTGGTGTGTGTGTGTGTGTGTGTGTGTGTGTGTGTGTGTGTGTGTGTGTGTGTGTTGGGGGGGGGGGGAGGGGGGCGTTCCAAACCTTTGACTGTATACGTAATAACCTAATAATAATCTGCAGTTCCATTAAATTTGACTTGATGCTACTTCCTGGTATGCGCCTCAGCCACCTGTAATTGTTGACTCTACATCTTTTGTAACGACAAGGTGATGATCAATTCAAATATCATAAGCCAAACGCAATGAAGCCCTATAATGTTCAAGAAATATATATGTTCGGTGCTTAGACTTTTTCTGCTCTGTTATCATCATCATTATTATTATTTATACAAAAACGATAAAAAAATTAGTCCCTGTCCACAAAGGGGAGGAGAGGCATTTAGTTGTGGCTTTTTGCACATTTTGGGGTGGGGAGGGGTGGATGCTTTTCTCGTCATGCGAGGATGTGGCTTAGATATAAAAAATGAACATGAGTTCTATGTTTTTCAGTACGTCAGGAACAGCACGCTTTGGTGAATGTTCAAAACTTCTTCATGTAAAAACGTACTATTACAGCAAAGAAATGATCAAGCAGAGCTGAAGACAGATGCGATAGATGTGCTGAGATATGTTCGGTTGCGGTAGATAAGCCTGAAAATCACAAATCACATCTTGTCCACATTTTATCTGAAGGAAAAAGTAGGTGACTTATTTATTTGCAAAAATATGCGGATTGGAATGTTTTTATGTTTCCAACATCTAGAAAATATAAGGTGAAAACAGATGAATAATTTCCCCAAACATGTAATTAGTAATAAGCTATAAACGGAAATAGCGTTTACAAAGATTTCCTCGCAACGGCCTTCTTTTTTTTAAAAAATTGATTTAGAAAATGCGACTGCATTTTAAAAAGATGCAGCCGCAGATGTGAAAATTGACACAGAAATTGAAGTCAGGAATAGATTATGAAAAACAGAATTCAAATCTGTGTTAACAACCCGTCAACAAATTAGGGATGAGCATATATTGGCCTTATATCTACCCATTCCATTAATCAGGACAAACTCCTTTCTTTTTCTTTAACCAATTTTGGGTTTCACAGTGCTCTTTGATTTTCTTTTAGGATTGTAATTTTAAAATTATAATTGATGATAACAGAGTAACGACTTTACTGAGACGACACGTGCCTACTCTCTGACCGCTACCAGGCTAGTACAAAAGTATTGCATCAGGCCCTAAACTCTTATACTTTAGTTTTGTATACTATTATAGAGACCCCTGATATCATAAGGTAACACGTGCCCATAAATGTCATAGTTATCTTTCCAATTTGTTTTCAATGCAACCCACATGTAACACTTTTACAGCCATGCAAAACTCCATCAGTGTTCTGTTGTCACATGCAACCCGCAGCCTTTGCCCGCACATAACCTGCGCCATATGGATAAAGACCCGTTCAACAGGAGTGAATATTATAGACAGGTTCTTTTTAATTTGGGCGTCCAAGACTTGAGCCAAGGGACGACAAGGATTTAGGTGTTCTTCGGAGATGTATACAGAAATGCTGCGTGTTGCGGTTGGGTTCCTCATTTTTTCTGTACACAAGGCAGCAGGTGAAGGTTCGAAAACTGACAAGCTTCTCATTTATATTTTATTGATGCTATTCCGGGGCAGATCCAGGATTATTTGAAGGGGGGCCGACTCTATTTCTATTTCTCTATTTTCATCTCATTTTATTCAGTTATTTATCTACTCACTACTTCCTTTATGAAGGAGGTCTCTTTTGCTCACCTTTTCGAACCAGAAACGAATGCTGCGCACACAGTCAGTGCCAGCATTCTGAATGACTTTGGCGAATATTGCTGAATGTAATTAGATATCCATTTCTAGAATATATTGATGAGAAGACGGCGATATATACCGGGTCCTGCCCTGTGAAAGCCCCCCCTTATCATATACCAGACACACCCGTGGTGAACGCTGTCATTCAGGTATAATTTCATAGATGCTCCAGATGCGTAATCGTTGCAGTAAACTCAGTTTTCTTTTATGAATTTTCGACTGAAGCATAGGCGTCTTATTAGAGGGAAACGCATTTTGTATTTGACTGTTCGAAATAGCTCGGTTATGCCAGAAATCCGTTTATGTAAGCTGCTATTGAATTAGAGGGTAGGAGTCGTGAGCCATTTTATGATCTGCCTTTTTCAAATGTGACTAGAATTTATGCAATACTATTTCCTTAAATGCAAGTATATACAACATAACTTTTGAAACTGTATCTTTAGGTTCCGTTCGCTGCTTCAGATCCAGATAGAGCAGATAAGACCGTCCCTCCCTTTTTCGAAATCACCACATCAAGGATCCCTGATGCAGGTCTTGGAGTGTTCGTTCTCAGTCCTCTCCCCAGTGGAGTAAGCATTGGTCCATACGAGGGAGAGATTGCACATATTGCAGATGAAGAGGATGTGTTGGACCAAGGATATGGTTGGTTGGTTGGTACATATATGATTGGTATTGATATCGCCGTTCTTTTTGGTCAGAGAGAGAGAGAGAGAGAGAGAGAGAGAGAGAGAGAGAGAGAGCATTCCAACTTTTTTTTAATCAGGATATGAATGTACTTTACTTCAGAGGCAAAGACAAGAATGAATTTGTACGAAAGTAATCCTTCCTCCATATTCAAATTACATAAAAACAGTTTTCGACACTTGTAGCCATTTGAAACATTTTGTCGACTCAAATTGGCGCTACTTCCTACTTCTGTCAATTCCCAGCTTGAATCCAATATTTAGTGGCTATTTAGTATAATAGGCAGTGGGCAGGGTTAAGGGAAAATGTGTGTGTGTGTG